AGTGGAATGGCTGGGTCATATGGGAGTTCTATTTTTAATCTTTTGAGCAATCTCCAAACTGGCTTCCACGTTGGCTATATTAATGTGCACTCCCACCAAGAGTGAAAAAAGGTTCTTTCCCTCTCCATAGCCTCGCTGTTGTTTGCTGTTAGATGTCTTGGTGATAACCACTTTGTCTGGGCTTAGGTTAAGTGGTGTCTCAAAATAGCTTTAATGTACACTGCCCTGACGACTAAGAAGGCTGATCACTTTTGAAAATACTTCTGAGCTATTTGTACTTCTTCATTTCTTGAATTAGCCCATTTGTTGATTGGCAGTTTTGTTTCCTTGGTGTTCAGGCCAGGGTTGTAAGTTCTGCATGTTAATTCTCTGTCTGGAGCATAGCTGCTCAAGACTCTGCTGTCCTGCGGGCTGCAGGCTCTATGGGCTGTTTCTCCTGCTGTACAGAAACCTTCAAAGATAAGGCAGCCTCATCTACCGCTCCTTGGCGGTAGTCCCCATGCTGTGTGTGTATGTGTGTGTGTGGGGGGGGAGGAGTCCTGTCAGGTTCTTGCTATGTGTGTGTGTGTGTGTGGGGGGGTCCTGTCAGGTTCTTGCTGTGTGTGTGTGTATGTGTGTGTGTGTGTGTGTGGGGGGTGGTTCTGTTGTGTGGTGTGTGTGTGTGGGGGGGTCCTGTCAGGTTCTTGCTGTGTGTGTGTGTATGTGTGTGTGTGTGTGTGTGGGAGGAGTCCTGTCAGGTTCTTGCTGTGTGTGTGTGTATGTGTGTGTGTGTGTGTGGGGGGGGTCCTGTCAGGTTCTTGCTGACACTGAAGCGTATCCTTGTTTTCCTCTATTAGCCTCAGACTTTAAATTGAGGTCCTTGTTCCACTTCAGATTTAGCACCCCTCCCCTTTCTTTCTCCTTTTTTGAGACCAGGTCTATGTATCTCTGACTGGTCTAGACCTTGCTATGTAGACCAGGCTAGCCCTTGAACCCAGCGATCAAGCTGCTTCCATCTCCCGAGTTCTGTTACTAATGGCACATGCCGCACCACAGGTGGCTTCTGAGTTGATTTTTGTATAAAAGATGAGGATCTGACTTCATTCTTCTGCATGGGGATTTCCACTTTTGCCAGCATGACTTGTATCTTTTCCCACTATATGTTTCTGTTACCACTGTGAAAAGTTAGATGGCCATAGCCTTCTAGTCTCCACTCTTCCATTCCATTGGTCAACCTGTTTTTAATGTCAGTACCAGGCTAGCATTGTCCCTAGAATACTGCAGTATAATGTGCAGTCAGGTATTGTGCTACCTCCAGCTGCGAGCTTTCTCTTCATAATTGCTTTGACTATTCCGGGGTTTTCCTTAAAACAAGCAGTGGAATGAATACTTTTATTTTGTTCTCCCAAACTGGTATAACCTACTTCACTTACATTTTTATAAAAATTGAGCTTTTAAGTAGTAAATATACTGAAGAAAATTTTAAAAATGCAGCCCAGTATCCTTCCGCTTATGAAACTATCTCTTCTTAACCGTGTGTGCAGGTGTGGGCTTGCATGTGTGCAGTTGCCCCTGGTGGCCAGAAGAGGGCGTCATAACCCTTGGAGCTGGAGTTACAGGCGGTTGTGAGCTGCCTGCTGTGCGTGCAGGCACTAAACTCCGGTCGAGCAGGTGTTCTTAACCACTGAGCAATATCCAGCCGCTACTTTATGAAAGTATTAAAGAAAATAAATCATGTAGTAGAGCATGGCTTTTCTTGAAGTTCATGTCTGCAAGCATCTACTACAACACAGTTTGTTCATATACACTGGTTTCAAAAGCCTCAAGGAGAGTTTGGATGCTCCGTGTGTGTTGTGTTATGGGATTCCAAAACTGCTGTGGCTACAGGCTCTCAGGTGCGCAGAGAAGCAGAGGAAACACAGATGTAGTTGATTGCCATGCGACAGCACAGTGCAGCTGCCCGGGTGCAGATGCTGGGGCATCCAGAGGAAACCCGGGGCCAGCAGCGCGCTGCAGGCATTCGCGCCTTAGAAGATCAAGGGTAGGCGCTGTGTTTCCACGGGAGGAAACACAGGGCATGGGCCACGTTGGGAGCTTAAGGTCCTGTCTCCACCACAGCAGTCACTGAAAGACTTCCACGATGGGAAGGCGCTGGAACTTTTTTAGTGACAAATGACAAATTAGGCTCAAAGCTGTTCAGACGGAAAGAGCAATGCTTTCGGACTCTGGCTAGCTCTTAAGTCCGGGGCCTTCAGGACTGGAACAGGCATCGGGGAGGAAGTGAAGACTTCCTCAGGCGTCAACTTTGATCTGTGGCTGGTCTGAGATGGGCACAGCTCCTGGGGTGGGGTGGGGGGTACAGGAAACTGCTGAAGAGACGAAAACCGAGTGGCCCACTTAAGACGGGGTGTGCTTATCAACGTCATTGCAGTTTCCAAGTTCCTCAAACAGTCCCCATTCAAGCTCAGCGTGAGCAGCCCCACACACCGTGAAAGGGCTAGCTTCAGCCACCTGGCAGCACTGGGTCAGTCACCACACATTTTCCAATACAGAGGCATGCCTGAATCACGTGACCGCCGTGTGACTCGCAGGGAGCGATGGAGGGCGGGCGGAGTGGCTTGCGGTGAGGAAGAGGCCCTACCCCACCCAGAAGAGAACGTTTCTAGAGGAAAGGGCAGCGCTCTCTTTCTTTTTTGAGAACAACAGATACGGGTGTGGGAAGGGCCTGACCCTGATGGTCTGCGTCGATTACTGGGCAGGCAGCCAGGTGGAGATGCTGGGCCCGCCCAATGCTGGGCAAGCCCCACAAGATCCAGGAGTAGGCACAGAAACGTTCCTCAACTTTAACTCCGGCACCCTTACCCCACCCTGAGCAAGTATAACAGCCCAAGCCTTTTCAGAATGGCTGAGACCCAAAATAGACGAAGCTCCGAGAAGATAAATAAACCAAATGAACACCACTTGGCTTCCAAACGACATGCTGGTTCCTAGGCAGCCTGTGCTCGCCTGCTGGGAAAGAAAAGAGCAGAGTGTGAGGAGGAGGGGAGGGGCAGACCCTGCAGCTGTTTCTGTAAGCTCCTCTCCCTGGGCTGGGCCCGGGGGTCTCAGGGGGAAATGGAGACTTCTTCAGCAGTTCTGGGGCAGCCTTTGAACCTGCTTCCAACCCTAGGTGATGTGAATAGCCCTGGTGCCCAAAGGAATGAGGATTAGGGACTAGAATCATACAGGCTGAAGGAGAGATGATATAAAAAGTTGTGAGCCAGGAGCATGGATGGAAGCCACTAAGATGGGCAACCCTCATGGTTCCCAGCGAGACAGGCAGAGAGGGGCTGGTGAGCCAACTTGGTAGGGAGACCCGCTTGAGCCTTGGCCAGTCTGAACTCTCCGAGTTCACCCCCTGGACACACAGAGAGCTTGTCTTAGCATTCAAATGAAATGAGGGCAGATCTTCTCTCAATTGGTTCTGGGATCTGTGCCCAATGATCTCAGCTGGGCGGGGGGTCCTCTTTGGGGAGCCTGAGAAAGCGAAGGGGTACAGGTTTCCTTCTGGGCCCACATGCCAGCTTGATCTGGCAATGAAGGACTGTGGTCCCTACCTCCTCTTCCTTAAGCCACACAAGGCTCTCCTGATACGCAGGCTTTATTTCCTGGGTACTGTAGCTGGTCCTTAGATGACCAGGACTCCACAGACATTGTCACGGAGTTTTTGCTCTGGACTCCCTAGAGCTCTCTGGTCTTTATGATCTCCGTGGAAAGAATGCAGCTGAGATCCCCTGAGTGCAGCATAGCAAGTAGACAGGGTTTATCACAAGCAAAACGGTGTCATAGACTACGGCAGACCACTGGGTAGGAACCGAGATGGAGATGGGAGACAGCGGGGATGCGACAGTTAGGGACCCACCACTGTCCTCACTCAAGGTGACAACCTGCAGGAAGGCACAGAGATACCACATTATTGCCACAGTTCAGATTTTATCTCTGAGCACGGAGCTTAGTTTGGTCACCCACCTCCACCTGCTGATGTGATTCTAAACAATTTCTGGTCATCTCCAAATGGGGTCCACACTAGGGAAGTAAAGGCACACTGTTGCACCTTGAAAAGGAGGCTGCCCTCAGGGCCACCAGCTTCCGGTTAACCCGGATCATTCCAATCCCGCAGGCTCTGAAACAGGAAGAGGCGTGGCTTTGGACCCAGGCCTTTTCCTATGATTTTTGTCATCTCACGATATGCCTGCACTGAGAGCCGAAGGATGCCCATATTTCTCCCCACGCTGGGCAAAATGTGGTTGGTGCTTCTGAGAGCAAGCAGTCCACATCTTCCCAGAGAGTACCCTGTTCTTTTCTCCTGACACCAGCTCCCAAGGGCTGTTGAACACAGAGCCTTGCATATGGCTGGCCAGTGATCACTTAGCTACACCCAGGTCTCTGTGCTTCTTCAGCCACTGTTCCTGCTGCCCTTTGTTTTCTCTCTCTCTGTCTCTCTCTCTCTCTCTGTCTGTCTCTCTCTCTCTCTCTGTCTCTCTCTCTCTCTCTCTCTCTCTCTCTCTCTCTCTCTCTCTCACTCTCGTGTTAAGATTAAACCCAGGGGGCTGGAGAGATGGTTCAGTGGTTAAGAGCATTGCCTGTTCTTCCAAAGGTCCTGAGTTCAATTCCCGGCAACCACATGGTGGCTCACAACCATCTGTACAGAGGTCTGGTGCCCTCTTTCGGCCTGCAGGCATACACACAGACAGAATATTGTATACATAATAAATAAATAAAATAAATAAAATAAATAAAAAAAAGATTAAACCCAGGAACTTTGTGCAAACTAAGCCAGCGTTCCCCTCCCCCATCTAGGTATTTTTTAACCTAAGAGGTAAAAGGAGAGCATCATTTGGTTGTATTTTGTAATTTTTTTTTTTAATCCCTGTGTCTGCTCTTTCCTCTCCCTGTTGTTTTGGACTTTGTGCCTGGTTTACATGTGCCAGGGTGAGGGACCTTTGTACACGGCCTGAGGTCATCAATTTTCAGAGAAATAGGAGTCTTTCGGGAGGATAAGCAAGCAGCAGCAAGACTGCTTTTGCGTGGGTGCCATTTGAATTAAGTCGCGGCAGAGGCTTTGGTATGGAGCAACTCGCTCAAGCTTGCCCGTGTGTCCATCCCACGGCTGGACAAACTGGTCTCTGAAAAGAGCGGGCAGAAGGAAGCCTGGAGCTGAGATCCCTATCTTCCCTCCCTCCTGTTGCCACTGGTAGGAGGGAGGAGGGACCTGGAGACAAGCAGGGTGTGGGGGGGGGGGGGGGG